GTTTTGGGCATCTGGGTCTCCTCAAACTTGTCCTTCCCACTACACCATGAGAAGTCGGCCCAAAAGGCATTCGCCATTTTACGGATGATTTGACGCACCTTCTCCCGTATTACTCGCATGGACCTCCAAATACTCTATGGTGCCTACGTCAGACCGCTCCTGGAGTACGCAAACCAAGTTGTCCACTCAGGACGCACGAAAGACAGCACCCTCATTGAGCGTGTCCAGTGAGCCGCTACGAGAATGGTTGCCGGCCTCAAATCCGTGGACCACGAAACGCGTCTCGCGATGCTTGATCTCTATCCCCTGGAGTACCGTCGCCTCCGAGGGGACCTACTTCTTACTTATGCCCTGTTTGCTCAAAGATTGGCCAACAGATTTTTCACCGTTGACCCAGCAAACACCCGGCGGAGACGTAGTAAGAAAATCTTCAAGCTCAGAGCACACACATTCATTAGGCAAAATTTTTTCATTTCGGGTGGTAGCTGCGTGGAATGACCTTCCTTCGACGGTTGTACACGCTCCTTCTACAACCCAATTTAAAGCACTATTAGATATTTGTTTATGCGAATCCTCGGGCTGGCAAGCATACCGGCCCGCGCTGAGAACATAAAGAGCAGTGTCACACCCTATTTTCACTTGTGCCTTTCAGGTGAACGACAGACACTGACAGGCAAGAAAAAAAGCGACCCGGGAAACTTGGGCAATAGCCTCGATCCTGTGTATCAATCCGTAAGTCCGTGAATGCCACCCATAAAATTTTTGCAGGTGAGGGCACCGTGTGATTCATGTGCTTTTAAGAATTCAGACGGATTCCAGTTCGATGACTTAATCTGCGCCGGCTAGTTCAGTGTATGAAGCGTCCTATTTTGAACCGGACTCCTGTTGAGAGGTCTTATCAGCCATGATATAAATCCCCTTGTGATGAAGTTTTACTTCCCAGTAGGCGAAGACAATTTTCAACCGGATCTCCCTCGTACGTCATGTGAGCATCAAGTATCGTGGCCTATGAACGCGCCGTAATGTATAATGTAGACTATACGCAACCAAATTTGGCACATTTCACCTCTTGGCTTACTTTGATTGGGTGATTAATTGGGCGAATATGTAACGGGTAATAACCGCTTAATTACCAACATATGGATACTGCGTCAGAAACTACCCATGATTTGGCTTCATCCACGATCTTTACATGTTTTGCCTTTTGATAATAGAGCTCTAGGCATATAAAGACAAATTGTTTTGGAAGTGAGAGTTAGGGTTCTTTATTGAGAGTGGTTCCCGATCGGAAGCATTGCACAAACCAGATGCAACTCACCTGGAAACTGCGCTGTCTCTCAGATCAGACCGCGGTAAAAAGAAGTGCACGACCGCCACAAGAGTGGTCTACATAGTGGGCCGGCCATATCGTGGCATTACCGCTGCTTTACCAGGTCACTTGTACTGGTTCCTCGTTTTTACAGTTTGAAGTTTGCTTATCATGTGCCAGGCAGGAAACCTCCTGTTGCACTCTCACTCTTTTTATTTTTGTCTGCCATGTTCAAATCTTACTGATCCGATATTGCCTAAGCATATTTTTCCCAAAAGGAAGATGAAATGATGTTGACCGTGTACCCTTGCACTTGCCAGTTTATCCGCAACCAAGTCCATATCGGATAACGTCTGCTGTTTATCACACTGACCCTTTTCCGCAATACCCGCAAATCCCTCCATTCGTGCCTTCATTCTGGCTGTGAATGTATGCTAATGTATGACGGTATACCACCCGTCAGTTGGCAATAAACCGTATTATCATTATTGTTGGAAGCCGAAGACTATATGCTTAAACTAGCCCATCTCTACTTTTGCGCTAGGTGAGTGACACGAGAAGAATCTGTACTCAGCCCAGTGAAATATGTGTTGGACATTGTTTAGGCGCCATCGCAAATTTCTCACACGCTGCCAATCATTAAACTTTGTAGAATTTTGAATTTAAGATTTATCGTTTTATTGCCCCATCAGCATGCATTCGTGTAGGAGACCTTGAAATGACGCTGGCTTATAAGAATAGCTTTCCTCAGAGTAGTACTGCAACACGCAACTGCACTAGGCTCATTCCATTTAAAAAGTTTACACATCAAAGACGGCGAAACTAATATCGATTTGTGCTTATTCACGAGTATATCACTTAAGAAAACATCCAACTATAGACCAGCTTTCATATATCGGCTGGTGGTCCGGTTTTCCTCAGAGTAGTACTGCAACACGCAACTGCACTAGGCTCATTCCATTTAAAAAGTTTACACATCAAAGACGACGAAACTAATATCGATTTGTGCTTATTCACGAGTATACCACTTAAGAAAACATCCAACTATAGACCAGCTTTCATATATCGGCTGCTCTGGTTGTCCGTTTAAACCACGGTTTCATGAAAATTTCAACGGATCTTTTACTTCCGATCCCGACCTTTTACGTGGTTTGCTGCACCACCTGTACCAAATCCTATATCTGTTCTCCCTTGGTTAAGACTCATCCTTAACAATAAGAATGAAGTAATTATCAGCAGGCATGCTTCTTTCGCCTACGGCATTGAGATGGTTCTTCAGGGGTACGGCGAAACTTTCCTGCAACCTTGGGACACAAGGGGGTGGTACACCCTGACCTTCCAACCTCCCTCTTCGGACCCGAGTTTCCCCGATCAAAATTATTTTGCCATCACACGGGCTCATCTAATTTTTTAAACACTGTTGACGCCTAATCTCTTCCATATGTTGTTTATCCTTAGGCGCACGATCCCGGAGCCTGTCTAATACCCTAGCTGACCTTCCGTGCCCTCCGGCACATTCTTCGGATCACTTGGCTAGCTTGTCGAAAGAAACAAATCCATGTATGCAATGGCCTTGTAATTTACAGTTAAACAATTGAAGGGAGTAAATTTATATCAATGATTTCGGGTAGTAGGTTGTTTACGCTCCTTCTGGAACCCAGTTTAAAGCACTTTTAGATATTTGTTTATGCGAATCCTCGCGCTGGCAAGCATACTGCCCCACGCTGAGAACGTAAAGAGCAGTGCTACACCCTTTTTTCACTTGTGCCTTTCAGGTGAACGACAGCCGACAAGAACAAAAGCTACCCGGGAAACTTTGGCAATAGCCTCGATCCTGTGTATCAATACGTAAATCCGTGAATACCACCAATAAAAGTTTTGCAGCTAAGAGCACCGTGCGATTCATGTGCTCTTAAGAATTCAGACGGATTCCAGTTCGATGACTTAATCTGCGCCGGCTAGTTCAGTGTATGAAGCGTCCTATTTTGAACCGGACTCCTGTTGAGAGGTCTTATCAGCCATGATATAAATCCCCTTGTGATGAAGTTTTACTTCCCAGTAGGCGAAGACAATTTTCAACCGGATCTCCCTCGTACGTCATGTGAGCATCAAGTATCGTGGCCTATGAACGCGCCGTAATGTATAATGTAGACTATACGCAACCAAATTTGGCACATTTCACCTCTTGGCTTACTTTGATTGGGTGATTAATTGGGCGAATATGTAACGGGTAATAACCGCTTAATTACCAACATATGGATACTGCGTCAGAAACTACCCATGATTTGGCTTCATCCACGATCTTTACATGTTTTGCCTTTTGATAATAGAGCTCTAGGCATATAAAGACAAATTGTTTTGGAAGTGAGAGTTAGGGTTCTTTATTGAGAGTGGTTCCCGATCGGAAGCATTGCACAAACCAGATGCAACTCACCTGGAAACTGCGCTGTCTCTCAGATCAGACCGCGGTAAAAAGAAGTGCACGACCGCCACAAGAGTGGTCTACATAGTGGGCCGGCCATATCGTGGCATTACCGCTGCTTTACCAGGTCACTTGTACTGGTTCCTCGTTTTTACAGTTTGAAGTTTGCTTATCATGTGCCAGGCAGGAAACCT